CTGGAAAGACATATCTTACATTAGAGTTTTCTGACAAAAAACAAAAACAAAAAAACAACCAGCAGTACTTATCAGCAGTATTGATAAAAGTGAATGTGTGGACGACCTTTGGCAGGACCACTCAGAGGTTCATAGTACCAAAATTGAGTGAGTGGTTGAGTGTGTTTGTTAGTAACCTTGCAGGATCGAAGCAGCAGTGTGCTAGTGATAGGGGGAGTGTAATATCCGTCAAACACAGAGTAGTCCCTCTGCTTTGGCTGAAGCTTCTTCTTCAGCATCCCAGCATAATTCCTGCTGTAGAAGTTGTCGTCATACCTGGCAAAGCTGAAAACACCCATTCCTGCAAACACAGTTGAGACATAACAGTGAGGATGTCGATGACAAAGCTGTATGTATTTTACTTTAGCACCATCTAGTGGCAGCTCAACCACATTACCGATTCTCTTGAATAGGTGTATGATACACTTTGACTGTCAAGCAGTGTCTTTCTCTTCTTTGACATTGTCCTCGACATAACAGTTTATTTTAACAGATTAACAGTTTGTTTAGATGCACAGGAGTATTATTATTATTATTATTATTATTATTAAGTTAAGTCTTTGTGGTAAAATCTCACCCATGCTGAGAGAAGCCTGTCCAAAGACAAAGTTCCACGAGTCTTTGGGGTAGAGGTCGATCATTGTGATTCCAACAATACAGAAAGCATCTTCAGGTTTCCTGTTTCCCAGGAATCGTAGCAGGTCACCTAAATTTCACAAGAAAACATTAATAACAAAGTAAAGTCTTGCATAGTCCAGTTGGAGATCACTGCATTTTACACTTCATCCTCTTGCATTTCTACATGGAGCGTGGCTGTGGGCAGTTTATGAGACAAAGGGACCCACCACCTCGCCTGCACAGGAGCAAGACACACAGACTTTGGGGTAGTTTTGCTTGTCTTTGTAGTTGTTATGCATATTTTGGGGGGGGTTTGGGTCTCTTTGGCGTCATTACGTGTCTTGCTATGGTTGTTTTGTGTCTTTTTGTGGTTGTCTGGGTCTCTTTGCGGTAGTTTTTTGTCTCCTTGAGGTAATTTTATGTCTTTTTGTGGTCATTTTGTGTCTCTTAATGGTTGTTTTGCCAGATTTTGTAGTTGTTTTGTTTCACATTTTAGATCCTTTTGCATCTTTAGTCTTTTGGTGCTCCTGGTCAGTACGTGTACGGGTCCCCTTACACTTTGAGCTCCTGGGCCTGTGCCCAGTAGGCTCGTTCAGTAATCCATCTATGAGTGTGGCCAACCCCCCCCCCCCCCCCAAATACATATTGTACAATGAAGTCTAGGTAAAAGCGATGTACTCTCTAACTTACCAGTGAGGATCTGAAGGTTGTGCGAGTAACTGTTAACCCTGAAAGAGCATCCTGTTTCAGCCACAGTAACCGCTGGCAGCAACTTGACAGAGAGCCCATAGAAGAAGGCCTGGCAGTACTCTCTGAGCCACTCCACATACTGGTCTGTCTGGGGCCCTGCCTCCCCAAAGGACCCTACAAGAAACATAGCGTAGAATTGATACCAGGCAGCCACCTCTGTAAGAAGTCCAGAAACCTGCTGTACAGCATACTGTACATGCCTCACCCATTTGTATAGACCATACCATTGTTTAAATGTAGTTTCTGTCATGTCTTGTACTGTTTTGGTCATTTAGTGCACTATAGTGACATGTTTATTTGAATGGATTGTGTACTGGCATTCAGAAATAGCAAAAAAGGACATCTTATTGTGGCTAGTGCTGTGCAAACATTTTCACACACGCTCCCACATACTTCACAAGGACTGAGGAATACAGAGACTCTCTCCGTGCTAGACAGAAGCACACTCACCTATGGTTTGAATATAAATAGTATTGCAGCTTGCATTAGGGACCTTGCGGTAAGGGTCTCTGTAGAAGCCCTCAAAGTCTTGCGGCTCCTCAGGGTGAGCGGAGATCCAGTCTGAGTCAGAGTGCACTGTGATGAGTTGGAAAAGGGAACCCGGCTGCCCTGGGTGGAATGCTTCCTCCAGAAGCTGCCTTTCTTTCTCTGTGTACTTGCTGTAGTGTTTAATCAAGTCCTGACGATTGGAGACCAAAGCTGTTTGCAGTGTCTCCACTGAGTGTTGGATCACCCTCATCTGAAGGAAAGATATACATGATCAAGATGTTACTGATGAAGTCAAGGTGAAATGTTCAACATAGCTTTGCTGTCACATAGAGATCATTTTCTGACAGGGACACTCAACTTGCTTTACCCAGGGGCCACTTGTTGAAAATGACAGGCCAGGAGCCAGTTAATGAACAAATATTGATCTTGTTTATAAATATATATATTGACTGAATTCCCTGTTTTTAACTTTTCAGCATTTTCTGTGCTCACTTATCTGTGTAGTCTCACACAGGTCAGGTGTACACAGGGGCGTTTATAGAATTTAAGGACATTCAGGACTTAGCCTGGATCTCTGTCAGGGGGTCCTGGGGATCCACCCCTGCAACTTTAATTGATAAACAAGCTATATTCTGACGTTTTTAAGCACTCTGGCACCTTATTAACATTCAAAGTACAAAAAAATATTCCCAGTGTGAACATTTTTTTTTCTCATTGTCAATTAGAAAATGGTCAGTGCGCACTCTGTTGTGGGCCAGATTTGGCTTGCAGGCTGTGGGTTGAGTATCACTGCCCTAAGACTTTCTATGGATGCTTATGAAAAATTGGTGTGACAATAAAAATTTGATCTATGCCCAGTCATGTGAACCTTTGTAGCAACCAAATAAGAGTCCATCTGTGTCTCTTTGTGTCTGCTTCTGGTTGTTTTGTGTCTTTTGTGGTCATTTGGGTGTCTTTGAGGTAATTTTGTGTCATTTTTTTGGTTGTTTTGTGTCTCTCTGTAGTCATGTTATGTCTCCTTGTGGTTGTTTTGTGTATCTTTGTCGCTGTTTTGTATGTCTTCATGGTTGTTTTACCAGTTTTTGTAGTTATTTTGTGTCACTTAGCAGCTCCTTTTGAATCTCTTCATATTCTTTTCGTGGTGATTGTGAGTCTGTTGTACATTAATTTAAGTGACACTTTGCAGGCGAAGACCAGGGGTCCCCCTGACACTTTGGGCCCCTGGACCTATGCCTGGTGTGGCCAACCCCCCCAATAAATGTAGCACAATGAAATCTAGCTAGGAGTGATGGACTACCTAACTTACCGGTGAGGATCTGAAGGTTGTGCAAGTTACTGTTATTTAACCTTGAAAGAGGTATCACTCCATTATGGCTACCTATGGATGTATATGACAAAAATGGTGTGATAATGTGACAATGAAAATTGGACAATGCCCAGTTGTAGCAGTCAAATAAGATCCTGCTAACAAAGGAAAATGTATGTTACAGAAAATATCAGACAATATATATACAGAATATTGGATGAAAATGTTGTCGTTTTTTAGTCCTTTGAGTCTCTTTGTATTCATTTTGTGTCTCCTTATGGTTGTTTTGTGTCTTTTTGTAGTTGTTTGGGTCTTTTTGGGGTAATTTTTTGTCTCCTTGAGGTACTTCTGTGTCATTTTTTGTTGTTTTGTGTCTCTTTATGGTTGTTTTGCCATTTTTGTGCAGTTGTTTTGTGTCACTTAGCAGTTCTTTTGTGGTGACTTTGAGTCTCTTCCTCGCCATTACGTGTTAATATAAGTGACATTTTGCAGGTAAAGACCAGGGGGTCCCCTGACACTTTAGGCCCTTGGACCTGTGCCCTTTGGGCCTGTGCAGTAATCCACCTATAGGCATGGCCAAACCCCCCAAATAAATATAGCACAAAAAAGTCTAGCAAAGACTGATGGACTCCCTGACTTACCAGTGAGGATGTGGAGGTTGTGTGAATTACTGTGAATCCTGAAAGAATATCACTCCCTTATGGCTACCTGTGGATGCATATGACAAAAATGGTGTGACAATGAAAATCTGAACAATGCCCATTTGTAGGAAAAGGTGTAATATGTCAGAGAAAATATCAGACAATATACACACAGAATATTGGATAGAAATGTATGCAAGTGTGTAAAATACAACACAATGAGACTATGTGAAATAGCAGAAGTAGCTGCAGAAAAAAAAACAGATAAACAAAATCAACAAGCAAGTGTTAGTGTGAAATGAAAAAGCTATATCTTTACACACATTAATAAAAATATTATAAAACCTACACTTCCGTTTAACGGCACAAAAGCATGTCCTGGAGACTCTATCATAATCCTTTTATGACAAATTAATTAACTTATTCGTGAAAATAAAGGATATAATGCCCCACCGTAGACACGCAGTTAACCGTGTTGACACCGGAAGCCATTTCCGCCTTGCACTGATCCCGATGACGTCAGGTAAACACAGGGGCGGAGCTTCTGACTTTGGAAACATTGACGACCAGCAAAGAAGTCAAGCCTCGCTGCGATGTCACACCAAACAATCTTGTCGTGTCGCTTATCTCACTTCGGACAACATTAAAATTTAATGTATTTTAAACTTTAGTTATTGAGTTTCTCGCGTCGGAGTGCTGTCAAGTACAGGCAACAGTTAACCGCTATTAACGGCAAGTGGACGGACGGAATACGAAAGCGGAAGAACTTTGAGTTAGCATAGTGCAGCGGTAGTTAGCCGAAGTAGTTAGCTTGACAGGCAGCTGATATAACGTTAGCAGCTAGCAGGCTAGCTTGCTCCTTTTTTGCTGTCATGCCTGGAGCTCCTCGAGACTTCACTGCGTAAACGAGAATACCTGGTAGTTAGCCGGTTAGCTTTCAGACGCCCAGCAGCAGTTTGTTCCGCCACCGAGGCGTAGGCAGGCAGGCAGGGCGGACTGGACTTGGATCTGTGACAGGTCTGAACTAACCCACAGCTGAGGGTTGTGCTTTCCTACGGCGACCTGTGCTTCAGCCGTCTGGAGATTGCTCACTATCACACATCCTAGACTTTGTGATGAGATGAGAGGAAGCCTGCTGTGCTGAGTTTCTACAAAATGGTCGTGGAGCTGTGACATCGCCAAAGCTTTAAAGGAGGATATCTCAGTTCGGCTCACAAGGAGTGTCAACCTTTCTCTTTGCCAAATAACACCCGTCAAGATTGCAGAAATGCTGACTGACAGCAGGTAACCATTTTAACACATCTTCGTCATGAATACAGGCTCATCATTACAGACAACATTACAATAGATAACTGTATCATTTTATTGTAATGCCACATCTTAACTAGATCATATACTACACATATTAATCTAAAACCAAAATCTAGACATCTGTTAAAGCAGGACCAATATAATATCCACACTATGTGAAATCTCTATATAGACCCCAGGGATGGTATGTTAATCAGTGTGTTCACATAATGGGAGTGCCACATGTCTGATCATGTAACTGCCTGAGTGTGAGGTGCTATTTTTGGTTCCTCTTCATGTTCTCTCTTTTTGATAGTCTTTCATTCTCCGCCCCATCTCTCGCTCCCCCTGCCTGCATCGTGTCTGTCACACTCTCACTCTTCACTTTTATGTTCACTCCACTGTCCCCTGCACTCACAACACTTTCTGTTCCTTTCCATTTCTGCTTCGCGCAGGAAACGACACCGTAGCTGTGACAGTGAGGAGGACCAACAGCTGAGTCCTCAGGCCAAGAGGTCAGGAGGGGGTCCCAGCCTGTTTGTGTCAGATTTGGATTCAGAGGTGAGACTGAATTCATCATTACATCCACCTTTGGATCATCACACAGATTTAGGTTTGTGATAAAAGTCTTCTTTGGGGACAGGACGAAACTGCCAAGGTCATTTATTCTCTATCTAATGTGAAGCACATTGGGATTTATAGATAGAGCAAGCAGCCTGGCATCATGCGTATAAATACATTTGACTCTGCATCGCATATGCAATGCACCACTGTCAGGAAAAGCACAGGATGTTTTATTTACAGCTTCTGCGTCCATCCATGCGGCTACAATTCACAGCCTGTCTCCTCTCTGGTTTTGCAGTCTTCCAGCAGCGACAGCAGTAACGGGATCAGCAGTCCAGAGAGAGCAATAGTGGCAACCACCAGGCCGTGCATACACAGCCAGAACAACTGCATCAACCAGTACTCCCTCAGCCCAAAGCCCGAAGACTCCAATAGCTCCTTGCAGCATGGTTTCCATGGCGACGGCAACAGTGTCTCTTACGACTACATCAACAGAGTCCTGAGGGAGGCGCACTTCAGTAGTCTGCAGACCAGAGGGCGTCCGGGCTCAACATGACCGTGACCTCTGACCCCCTCTCCTGACCTTTAGTCCCTGGCCCATCAGTGCTGACACCACAGGCGCGGTGGCTCCTCCTCGAAAGCCTCAAGCGACACACTCGGGGGTCAGGGGGAAGGGGATGACGTGTGGGGAGGTTTACAGATTTTGGGCACAAAGGCTCATCCCCACCTCACCATGTACCATTTGTCAAGACCATAAGCACATCCGCCTTTCCATGGCCCAGCCACTGTGGTTTTCTGTGCAGTATTGGTGTGTGTTTGTGTGTGTGTGTGTTTGCACGCACCCTGTGCACTTTATAAAGAGGTATCGTTCTCTTTACATGCGTGCGTTGATGCGTGGACATTTTCATTGGTGCTAATCACGAGAAACGTGTGATGATCCAAAGTGCTTGCAAAACTAAATAAAGCTAAGCACTTTATTCAATAACTCCTCATTCTGTTTACTCTCGACTGGGGACATCAGTCACATGTTTGTATCCGTGAAGTGGGAGTTGTGATCCCATTCACACAGGAAGTCCATGGAGGCCGATAGAGTCACTCCCAAGGAGCATTATTAATACAATCCAGTAAAATAACATTTCAGACCTTTTTTGTTTTCTCTAACCAAAGTCACAACCTTAAATTATAGTGTACTTGCAGTCACTTTTGCTATCTAAATAAATCTGTAATGTTCTGGTGTGGTTGGTGAGTGGGTTCAAGGTAACAGAACAGAGATTCTTCATGAGCCTCACCACCAAAATCCAACCTCAGATTAGACCCTGGCTAATTATAGAGTTGTGAGAGCAGGCACTGGAGTCTGCGGCTCAGGCGGTGCAATGCTCAGCACAGTGTGTCTCACAAAAACAGCCTCAAGAAAAAAAAAGCTCTCTAAATCAGTTTGTAACCATGTGTTTAACATTTTACACATCATGTGTGTGGATGCGTCATACGCCTGTCAGCCATACTTGTTTTTTTTTTTTTAAATGTATGGTTCAATATGACCAGTACACTGTGTTGCGAATAAAATGAGAGATGTGAAAGTGATTCATATTTTATGTAATTTTCCAAAATCATTTGACATTGAAATAAAGCGTTGCTGAAAGTGAAGACTGCGTTATGTCACTGATGCCATTTAAATACTGACTCATTTATAGTGTAAGTGCTGCAACAAAAATACAGCAGGTTTTATTGTTCGTCAGCATGTGCAGCAGCATAGCTTGTGTTCAGTGGCGTTCATGTGCATTGGGTGGGTTGGATTACCATTTTGGCGTGTCGTGTGTGCCACATTCCACAGCCCTGAACACCACAGTACAGTATGTAACTAAAACAACAAGGGTGAGATTGTGAAGGCAATCTGCCTTTTATAGGGATGCACCAACTGTGAAATTCTGGGCTGATACCATACTACAAATTTATTACACAACCTTTAATATAACCTTTATATTAAACAACTATTTATTGAAGTTTCCTGCCAAAAACTGACTTGTACAAGCTGAACACATCACGATGAAGTTATAATTTACCTTTGTCCAATACTCACTTTTACTGAGTAGAGATGGAACACATCATGATGTAATTCAATGCAACCTCCATTAGCTGTTAGTACTGGCCACCAGCTGCTAACAGCTAACATTAATTAGCTCTCCTCCATACACAGTATCAAGCCCTGTGAAAAATTGATGCCACACAACAGAGAAACATATCGGCTGACACTGATATTGGTCCACTAAACTGGTGCATCACTTGCCTTTGATTTGGTTACCCAAGCAACTTGCATTTGCATTATGCTAATGCTCCACACATTGTTATGCACACACAATATCTCAATAATCACTTCCTCCATTAGTTCTCCAAACTAGTCTTTAATCATATACATGCACTCTACCACCACTCTCACATGTATGTTTAATCAATACAGAGCACACATAATAAATAATTTGTAAACTAACACTCATGACACCGACATAATAGCTTAGTACCAAAAAAATATGGAAGACAACTCTCATTTGTAAGGTTTATGAGTCCATAAGAAAAGCAACTGTAGTGCAAATTACAAAACGAGGGGTTCTCCCTCAGAGGTTTAGGCCGTGCTGCGGAGGCGTACGAGTTGTTTCAGTTAGCTGAAAGGAATCCTGAGATAAAGCAACTGTCAATAATAACAACCGGTAATTCAAGACAACCATTCTTGTTAAATACTTTTGAGGGATTAGCCGACAAACAGCAGCATAGCTTCCATACTAGTCCTCACGTGTGACAGTTGAGGGGTTTCTCACGCTGACTGTGGATTGCACTAAAGGACTACGGTTATTATGTGTCCGAAATCTCTTTCTCTTCCCCCAGTCTGCTGCTTTAATACAATTTCCAAGGAGGCACCATACAGATAGGAGCAGAAAACCCCAACTTAATGTGAATCTGCCCTCTTTATAGTAAGCTTACAGATCTTGGTTTATAAAATTAAATAGATTTCTAAAAGGATATACGTGAAGACATCATTGGTTTAACCATGACAGTTCCAGCTGTATAAAGTTGTGGTCAAAAGTTGACAAATGAGAAGGCTGATACTGGTTGGCTGCTATCACAGGTGACTGCATTGCAAAATAAAGGAGCGCCATCGCCAGGTAGATCCTCCCTTAAGCTGCCGTCCGTGGTGTCCGTCTCTGTCTGGGATGTCTCTCTTTGACACAGAGGTCTCCCCTTAGTCACCAGCTCCATACCGCTGAACAGGGACAGCCTGCTCAGACAGGGCTGCTCACTTTGGGGCTCGGCTGAAGGGGACGAGCTTCTGTCCGTGTTAACCTCTGATTTTTCAGCAACCGAATTAAGATCGCACTCAGCAGTCCTAAGTGGCTCTTGCAGAACAGGAGAAAGTTTCTCCTCATCGCCGCCATCCATCAGCTCCCATGAGGAGTCTCTCTGGGCTACACAAGAGGGGGAAGATGGGTGATTTGGTGGTGGGGTGACACCTGTGGGTGACATGCCCGGCTGATAATGGTTGAGGCTAGTGTCAGCAGAGTGAGTTGGTAGCAAAGGGTCCGAGTATGTAGATGTTGGAAGCTGATTAGTTGTTGCTTGGTGGCTGTTGTTCGCTGTATCCTGCTTTGGTGTGTGTACAGATCCACCCATCAGAGCCTCAAACTGTCGCAGGATCTGGTACGAGGAGATAAGAACAAAAAAACACACCCCCAGTTTGAGTATAGTCTAGTTCTGTCCTATCAGTCTTCACCATGTGCAGCTTTTTAATCGCTCACCTTGGTGGCTTTGTTGGCCACGGGTCCTGGAGCCCCCTCACTCAGCTGGCGGAGCCTTCGTTGCGTCGATCCGAACATTTGTTCCAAAGAGAGGAGGTCAGAGGTCATGAGGCATGATTCGGCACACAGTGCCCGCTGCAGGATTCGGAGGAAAACAAAGATATGTACATTAGGATTGAATGATATCATGAAGAAAACCTGGATCTTCAGTGAATTGTATTTATTGTTACCATCTTAACAGTATTTGAGGGATCTTGAAGCTTGCTTGAGAGCAACTCCAGCACGACCTCACAGTTGAGAGTGGAGCACCTGACGGATTGATGAGATAGAAGTAAGGCCATTTGTGAAACAACAAAAAAGGCAAATAATACAGTTCATAAAGGAAGAATCAGAAGTATCTGAAGTCTGATTTTAGGTGCACTGACTCTTTGATGAAGTGCTGGCTCTCCTCTCTGGACAGGAAAACTTTGGATCCTTCAGTCAGTCTGTTGATTAGCGCCATCTCCTGGCCACAGTCCCCTAACTGCAGGGCTTCCACACTGAAACCAGACAATGTGTGAGGCAGACTGACAATGATGTGGAGACACTGGACATTCATAGACTAATCTACCAGCTCTTAACAAACTGCTGGTGCAACGGGTCGACGTTGCCACTCACCGGTCTGACAGGTCCCCGCTGCTCTCTCTGCTGGCCCCAGACTGGCTCCCGGTACCAGCCGACTTGCTGCCAACAGAGGCCCTGCTGTTTGCCGCGATATCCTGAGAAGAGTTGTGAGAAGAGCTGTTGCCACTGTCGGTCTCTTCCCAGCCACCTCCTATCTGCCCTGGGAACCGCTGGGTCGATGCTGTGGTGAAGACACATGAGGGGTCAAATTGAAATTTTTTCTAGTCTAGTCAAACAAATGCAAAAATCTCACCTTTGGGTGCCCGAGTGGGCAGGTTATAGGCACACGCAGGCACCGCCACCTCTATGGGTGCGGACGGCGCAACTACGGCCCGGTAATGGTTGTCATGGAGACGGATGCCCTGGTGTTCGGTCGGGGGAAGGACAGCACTGGCCACTACCTCTGCAGCTTTCTGGATCTTATCCAGTAGTGAGTCACTGCCTGCTGGGAGGCACAGGTACGGACATAACGGTACAGAAATTTACACAGATGATAAGCTTGACTGGATTTGTGTCTGTGTGCAGTCAGTGTGTGTGTGTGTGTGTGTGTGTGTGTGTGTGTGGTGGTCTATCACCCACCTGCTCCCTGTTTCCCTGGACTGTATCCAAAGCCCTGCATTCCTGACCTGTGGGAAGTTGCTGAGCCCATACCTGGACGGAGAGACACAGGAGATCTATTGTACGCTGGACTTTCAGTTTCACAAGATACAAAGAACCTTATGTAACTGATTAAAATCATTCAAGCTTCCTTATAGACACTTATGTGTTCCCTCATATTTCAGATGATGGACAGCATCATTACGTATAACAGTAAGAATGGGTTCCGGCAATTTTGATTTGTTTCCAAGTTGGTTGAATGCCGACATTTGTTTAGCTCCATATCTAATGAATCTCTTATCATCAAATCTGTCGTCTGTTTTATCAGTAAAAAACCCTACCAAGAACATTTAATTTTCATTTAGATGAACAGCACATAAATCCTTTAATAGCAGTTGTTTGAATTTTAAGTCCTCCATATTTAAAGGCTCTACACACTCCTGGTACATCTGCACAGGTGTTTTTGCCAGATTGGCGCTCTTTTTTGGACTTGATCTGGACCATGCTTCTCACTATTGCTATGCCCAACTTCAATCTTCAATTTCTTGCTACTCACCCATTGTTGGGGCTCCTAGGTGGGGCCGCTTGAGCGGGGAGACGCCGCTTTTGATGGGAATTGTATCTGTGAAAAGCAACCTGGCCACTTCCTGTTAATAGAAAAAGTAAAAATTGAGAGTGTTAGAGTGCTTAGCTGTCACAGATGTATGTTTGACATGATGATTAAAGGGTAAGTTAGGCATTTTTTAAACCTGGACCCCATTTTCCAATGTTTTTGGGTCTAAGTGACTACTGGAAACAGCAATCTTTGAAACTGGTCCAGTATAAAGCGGGACCATTGCAGCTGGCTGCAATGTAACCATTCTGGGCATGTTTGCACTGTCAATTTATGTCCACTAAAAGTGCTTGTTTTTGCCACTGACATGCTCAGATTATTATTATTATATTTATCTGCGCCTGTTATTTATTTAGGTGAAATAACTGTTTATTTAAATGGAGTCTGGTGGGTTGGGCGAGAGCGATTTCGAGGCTCTTTCTGGTTAAACAAAAAGGATCTTACTCTTTACCAAAAAGCTCTATCTCTGTAGGGGTCCTTTCCATAATATTGCTGCTGGCTTCAGTGCTCTTGCTCAATACTGGACCAGTTTCAAAAATTAGTTTTTTAGACACAAAACATGGCAAAATAGAGTCCAGGTTGGAAAATACTGACCTTACCCTTTAAATGTAAGCTACATCTCACCTGTGCTGTGTTTCTCACTTTCTGGTACAATGCTGTGCCATGGATGGGATCAGGAGGGCCGCTGTAAACTGAAAAAGCAAAACACCCGACAGTGAGTGAGTATTCAGGCGACGGAGCGGCCACAGAGTGATGAGAGCTAAATGCAGCTAAAAGCACAAGTGACAAATATCTAACCTGATGCTTGCTGGATGAAGGTGGAGTTTCTTCTCAGCTCTGTGAGGAAATGGTTTGAGCCATGACCGCAAAGATGGACAAAGATCTTCAGCACCTGAAACGCCAGCAACATGAGCAGAGTGATTACTCACAGAAAGGAAAGGAAGGAAAATCACCAACGTTTAAAACACAGCTCCTTTCACAGTTTCATATCACAGACAGAAATGTGAATAGTAACACTGCTCTGACCTTGAGTTTGACATGACAGGACTCCACCTGCAGCCTCTCCAGAAGGTACTCCAACAAACACTGACCGCATCCTGAAGACTCATGGGAGATTTCTACAGTTCGATGATGGTTAAGGATATTACCACCACAGCGTAACAGATGAGTATGTCTGATCTGGACAAAATGATTCTTCCCCAGTTAGAATATCTGTAAAGAACACCTCCCTGCTGGCATGTTTATATTATTAACTCTGGATTTCAACCCTTTCAACTCAACTTCAGATGAATCATTTCATTTGCATGCATCATGTGAGCCACTATCACACTTACATCATCATTAGAGACCGCAGCTGCTGACTGAACCACAACAGAAGCTGACAAAGGATACTTCCAATCTCTTGGAAAAGGTAGCCAGGACAGGGGTTTTCATCATCTGCTGTAGCCTTCATCAGAGTGGGGACCTTCAGTTGGTGGACAAGATGATGGTAAGAAAAAGGTGTGACACAAGTTCAAAGCTCATAATAAGGACTATGACACTATGACAACTGCTCAGTCCACAAACCGTTTAAACACAAGCTAACCTGTGTACTTAACAGTTTAATTAACGAGGGAACACAGACTGACATGGACTCAAACTTGGCATGACACCAGGGTCTGAGCACCAGGTTAGCTTTGGCCAGACAGACACTTATAACATGGCTGTGCGCCTGTCTGCTGCTGCTTTAAGACTGCAACGGAACAGGCTGGCAGCTCAGCAGAAAAATGACATGAAGTACAATTACGAAGTGTGTTTCTTGCTGTTAGCTAGCAGGCTAATAGCAAGCTAGTGATGGCACAACTTAAATTCAAATAGACACGGTAACGTATGTCGTACTCGTAATGCTCCATTTATCCGTGACTGGTTTCCACAACTAGTCATGACCGTAAACAGCACTTACTTTCTGAAGAAAGGCCAGTCGCTCCATAAATGTTGCCATGATTTAGCAATCCTGGCTGCGGGTTACTCATCTTCCTCTGAGGTATGTGGGGAAGGCGGGGCTCGAGGTGACAGCTAGCCAATCATGGAATAGCAAGTAGCAATCCTAGAGTCTATTGGCGTTCTGGTTACGCCTACAGTCGAAATACAGCGAATCCACTTCAAGAGTGCTTTGGTTGACAGAGAAATGAGCGAATCACATTACTGAATATCTTCCTGGATGTTTCCGTGATGACAGGGTCAACAATATGGCGCTGTCCGTGGTTCATATAGATGCTTCATCTGCTGGTTGATGTGTATTTTTTATTTATTTAACGCTTTATGAGTTTGCTATTACATTTAACAAACTGTGAAGTATTATCGGTTCTCTATCGGGCCCGTCAGTTGACATAAAAACCTAAAGGACCCCTGTTAACACCTGAACAACAACCATGTCTGGGTCTAATGCTTGGAGTCGAAGTCGAGAAAAAATGAGACTTTTCCCGGAACTTTTTGCCCAATGTGCAGGAGAGGTAAGTTTAGTTTTAATTCTGTGAACGTATTAAACTCAGACATATGGTCCACACTGAAATACATTCCAGCAAGACGACTGTGCCAATTTAAACCACATGACAGTATCACATAACAGTTTTCCTATATAGCAATAGGCTGTATTTTTTGCAGTTCCCTGAAGTGAGCATGCCATTTATTTTTCCAACAGCATTTGAACGCCACCATGCTGACGGCTGTGATTCTGTGGAGTGCAGGTTATAAAAGCAGGCCAGTTATGAAATTGTAAAGAACATATCAGACATTTGGACCCAGTCGTTTGTGCAGCTTTCAGCCACTTGACCATCTGTATTTTCTTTTCTTTAATTATTTGAATGCTTATTGAAATATGTAGGATGTGTGCAGGGGCTTTTCTATAATTTGAGGACATTGGGGGCCTGGTCCCAACCTTTTGTAAAAGGGTCCGGGGGGATCTTATCCTGGGATCCTTATCCTTATCCATTTTTGCATCTTATTTTACCTTAAAATTGTGTCGCGTTTTTTTCCCTTTTAAGATTAATTATGAATTGTGATGTGATTAGTATTGAGTTGAAACAGAATACTGCACAACTGCTGTCATTAAATTGAAGAGAATTTTGAGGTACTTGTATGTGAGTATTTCCATTTTATGCAACTTTATGCATATACTCATCTACATCTCTGAGGGAAATATTGTGCTTTTTGTTTTAATAATCTGGGACTTCAAAGTAACTAAAGCAGACAGTTAAATTTAGTAAAATATAATCAACTAAATGATGATGTATTGTTATAGATTAAACTACCCAGCAGTACATAAAGCATTTAAAATGAGCTCCACCTTTACCAGCTGCAACATTAAAGTGATCGCCTGTGCACTTTCTCTCTTGCATGTGAACATGACCACACAGAATGTACAGCTTGAATAAAAACAGTATACAGTACCCAAAACCTGCTTTTTAGAGCAACAGTATATTATTTTTATTATTGATGCATCAATAAAATGGCACATTATTGGATCCTGTGCCTTTTTTCAAATATGAGGCCTATTCTTCTTTTTAAAAATACATATAGCCTTTATATTTAGATCAGTGGCTTTTCTGAAAACATTCAGGGCTGAAGCCTCAGATGCCCAGGCCTAGCAGTGCAATTGGATATGGGATTAGCTTTGGATGAATAGGTTGAGCTTTACTGTCAGTACTCAATACAGGATTCCAAAATGAAATGCAGTTACATCTCTATGTTATATGGATAGTAATTACCAAAGGATAAACATTTGGGAAATCATAAACAAGCCCATAAAGTAAGATAGAATTATAGAGTAATAGCAACAATGAAGAAAAACAACATTACTGTGCATTTATGTATATGCAGTATACACATATTATGTACAATATAACTAAAGCTGTAGTACAAAGAAACTAGAGCTGCAATGATTTATTGATTTATTGTCAGCTATTACATTAATTGACAATTAATTTTATGATCAACTAATGGGTAGGGCTGGGCAACTTGGAAAATCAAATATCACAATATTTTTTACTAAATACCTCAGTATCGATATTGCAACAATATTCTAGGCTTGACTGTTGGTGCTTTCACAAAATATTGACACAAAAATATTTTAAATAAATACTCATTAGTAATGTGAATGTAATGACTAAGTGATTGAAGGCAAACAGTAGAACAGCTAATAGTCCGGTAAGTATTGATAATTACGTCACTTTACTGTAATTACAGCCTTTTCCAGGAACAGATAACACTTATAACAATATCCAAACTTTAAGATATCTAGTCTCATATGACGATCTCGATAATGTCCATATATTGCCCAGCCATATTACTCTGTTTGTGTAATTATTTAAGGAAAAAAACAAACAAATCAAAAAACAGTAAACTGATATCTGGGTTGTGGACAAAACAAGACATTTGAGGACACCATTTGGGGCTTTTGGAAACACTGATTGACATTTTTGACCATTTTATGACATTTTAGACCCAACAACTAATCAAATAATGAATCATGAAGATAGTAACTGACAGATAAACTGACAATGAAAATAGTCATTAGTTGCAGCCCTAAAAGAAACCAGGTAGTGAGAATGGCGAAGGATGTGCTAAAAATCAAACAGAAGAGGTCAGCACAGACAGGGAAAAGAATAACTGTTTCCCTTTGCATAATGTCAACTTGTGTGTGATTCAGGCAGCAGCGTATGGGAAGTGTGTAGCAGCTACCACTACAGGCAGACAGGAGCTGACCAAGGACATGTGTGCCAAGGAATTCACAGCACTGAAGACCTGTTTTACAAATGCAGTAAGTGGCAAAGTCAGCAATCCTCCTGTCGGTCTTGTGTAGTGGTGATACAGTGGATAGTTATTCAAAATAATTATTTTTTATTACAGGCCAAGAAAAAAGCCAAATGAATGGAAACTGTCGCAGCTTTGTTAGAACGGCGAATACAGTGGACAGACCCTTACGGTGCAGTGCTGTGGGAGAAGACTCCAAGTCCCACGTGTTGAGTGTATCATTTTAGGTAGATGTTAACACTTCCTGTACTTGGCACTGTAAATGAGCTGAATATTTTTAACGTGTTGAAAAACCAACACACACCTTTTATGACACTGTTAAAATGGAGACTGCATGTTATGTTGTACTGCTTTATACTTGAATATGCAAGACTGACTGTAATATACAGACGTGAATAAAATTTTGCTTTCGATATTATCAGTTTCTATTGTTGAAACACAAACAAACAGCCATGGGGTGTAATAGAGATGTTTTTATTTATTATTACCAGCAAAATGTACAGAAATTCAACCCCCATAGAAAAATACAAAAATAGCCTTTTGTACTAAGCAAAGGTCCAAAATGTGTTGAAATGCCATCTGATGGAGGAATTATCTGAAAAGTTGGATTACAAAGAAACACTACAAATGTAGCCCACGTCTTTCCACTTTCATAATCACTGTAGTTTACAGTAAGAGTGGAAACAAAAAGACTGCCACATTTTGTGTTAATAAAACAGCAGCATATGGATTTGAAGGCACTAATAAATCAACTAGGAACAGATTTCGAAGATGGAATGCTCGTTAAGTGATGGCCTGGATCCGGCTGCTTTGTCGTCCACAGTTTATCAAACAGTAAGGCTACATTAAATACCTCGTAGCTCCAGCATGAGCTTGAATTCAGTTACTTTCGAATGAAAGTATAATGAAACAACTCTTACCAAGGCGCCTGAACCCACATCGCATCCAATACGTGGTTCACAATTAACATGAATTTACAATATTTACAACTCAAAGTAACAATCACAAACACACTAACCAAACATTTAACGGAAAAACAGCACAGGAGACAATAAGCACAAACAGACGCCACAGAGGTGGTGATAAAAAGAAACTCAACTACAGACATTAATATATCCACCCTGTCTAAACACGTAATAAAATGGTATTTGCATAGATTTATATACATTTCAACAATAACCTTGTCAAAATTCTCCTCCTTAAACACAAAAATAAGTTAATATTTACACGCACTTTGCTCTTTCATAAAGACTTTGGGTTATTTCTGGAGCGCACAGTATCAAGAAAGAGAAAATGTTCCTCTTTGTCCACAACATTTCTGAAGGCAAGAAAGAACGTAAGGCATCGATATCATGGTCCACAGTATTACAAGTTTTCTGCAGGTGTATAGCGTGTGCTGAAGTTACTGTCCAATTGTTGAGAGAGAATCTGGGAGTGTGTGATGTGTTATTTCGCCCCTTCATCCTCTGAGGCCTGTTTAATCTGCCGCGAGTGCACCATAGCCCCAGCCAGTAGCCGATCCTCCAGGGCGGCGTGCAGGTCTGAGCCCCCCAGCTCCAGCAGGGGCTCCAGCCCCGGCACCCCTCTAGACACCCCAGTCTCCTCCGGGGGCCCTCCAGCGTCTCCGGGTCCCAGTGCCCTGCGCCTCCGCTTTAGATCCATCTCTCCCTGGTCCCTGACCTTCTCGTGGGAGCCCTGGGGGTGAGCCTCGGCTTTGACGGCCCCGTCTTCCACACCTTCTCTGGGGTCCGCCTGAGCGGCATCATTCTCTTTGAGGTCTCGTCCTCCTTTCTTCAAAGCTTCGCCGTCTTCTCTCTCGGCCCTCTGTGCAGCCTGTCTGTCTTCTGCCTCTTGCTTCAGCTGGGCCAGCCGCTCTCGAGCCTCCTCCTCCGCCTTTTTCTCTTTCTTCCCCCTCTCAACTACTTCATTGTCTACTTTCTGCAGCTCCTGCTTAAGTCTCTCCTCGGCAGCTTTCTTCTGTGCGAGTTCCTCCTTTAACGCTCTCTCCTTCTCCAGCTCCTGCTCTCTGGCCAGCTTCTCTCTTCTCTCCCTATCCAGTCGTTCTTTTTCCACCCTTGCCTGCACTTCTTTCTCTATCCTCTCTTTCTCGGCTCTCTCCTTCTCTAGTTCCTGTTGTCTGGCCAGCTTTTCCTGTCTCTCCTTTTCCACCCGTTCTTTTTCTAACCTTGCCTGCACTTCTTTTTCTATCCTGTCTCTCTCTGCTCTTTCCCTCTGCGCCTCCTGCTCTTTGGCCAGCTTCTC